GGGGGGGGGGGGGGGGGGGGGGGGGGGGCGCAAGGCGCCTTGGAGTTCTTCCTTCGAGAGTTGGCGCGGTTCGCCTGCATCAGGCTCCAGGGACATGAAGTAGAAGTAGAAGACGAAGTAGTAGGAATAGGGTTTAGGGTTTAGGGTTTGGGGTTTGGGGTTTGGGGTTTGGGGTTTGGGGTTTGGGGTTTGGGGTTTGTGGTTTAGGGTTTTGGGTTTAGACTAGTAGAAGGACTGGGGTAATTAGATAGGAAGAGCAAAGCAGAGCGGGAGCGGCATCGTAGCAAGAGGAGGTGTTGCTTGCGTAGCCTTGGCAGCGGCAGTGGCAGTCGTCCACCCTAAACCCTAAATCCTAAGTCCTCAGCCCCTAAACCCTAAACCCCAAACCCACACAAACAGCCTCCTGCATGACACTATATGGAGAACTCCGCGAAGGGCGTCATGCTTAAGAAACGCAGCTGGCGTCTCAAGGCACAGCCGTGTTTGGGCACCCTAAACCCTAAATCCTAAACCCTAAGCCCGAAACCCTAAACCCTAAACCGCTTCCGCGCCTCAGGTATCTCCATTGACGTCACCGTGACATCGAGGTCCAAGCAGTCCAAGCAATCCAAGTCATCCACTTCAAGGTCCACCTCCTCTTGGACCTCCTTCGGAAGGCATTGAATACAAGGGTTTTGGGTTCCCCAGATCTTCCAAAAACCCCTGAATTAAGGAGTATACCCTAATTTATACCAAGGATCATGCTTATGAATGAGGGTAGATTTCTTAATAGATATAGTTTTGGAATGGGTCTTCAGCATATCAGACTTGCAGGTGCTTTACGGCTTTACGCGCTTCTCTTTCAGATCGGGTGGCTTTGGGTTTGCGGTCCCCTAAACCCTAAACCCTAAACCCCAAACCCTAAACCCTAGGCCCAACATCGCCATCCCCACCCTAAACCCTATAACCCTAAACCCGAAACCCTACAACCTAAACCCTATACCCTATACCCTAAACCCTAAACCCCAAACCTTCAGCTCGTTCCTTGCTCTGTCGGTTGCCCGCGCTGTCGGTCATTGGCACATCGTCCAGGGTTTGGACTTCGGCAGTGGACGTGCTTACACAAACCTGAGTCCGTCAAAAGGGGCTTGCTGTTGGGTTGTTCCCCCTTATAGTGACAGTCCTTTACAGGTATTATACTTGGGGGTACTCTCATCCCAAAAAAGGACTGTTATAAGGGGGAACATCCCAAGCTTACGGAGGTAAGATGTCTTGAAAGACGCTCAGTCAAGCAGGGCTTCGGAACGTTTTGGAGCATAATTTCATTGTGTAGGGCAGGACTTAATGCCAGCGGAGAAAAAAAACTCTCTCCAACAACAAAAATAGGCCCGAAGGCCCCGAATGTGCGCAAACTGTGTCTTGGACAAAGACCCGCAAGCCAGAAAAACAAATGAGACATGCTTTACAGCCTTGGGGGACCACATGGACCCCGTAAAATTGGGTGTCATATACCCTACGTAATGCGAACCCCTACACCCCTTTAGGGTTCATATTTGGTCCCAAAGGAACCCCGACCTCCCAAAAGAGCCCAGCATCCCTTTATTCAGGAATATGCCTTAAATCATATTAAGGATCCCTATATATAATTGAAGGTTCCTTCATTATAGGGGTTTTGGGGATCCCTTTTCAATTAAAGTCATATTCCTTACGATATGATCTAACGTCACATTCATATTCCTTAACTAAGGGGTATGAAGGCTCCCTGGACTTCTCTTCTTCGGCGCTTCATCCGGCGAGTGACGGTCTCGGTTGCCTTGCTCTCCCGCTTCTCCTGCAGCTCAGGGCTGCGGCTTTGGCATTGGTATCCTAAGCCCTAAGCCCTAACCCCTAGCCCTAAACCTAAACCCTTCCAGAAACCCTTTTTGACCCTAAACCCTCACTACGGAACCGGGACTTAACGAACTTCAGGGCTGAGGGTTCTAGGGTTTCGGGAAAACAGTCTCTAGCAAGCCAGTCCCTGTGTAGTTGTGTAACCATGCTATAGTGTAAACGGCGCTGCTTAAACGTATTCGCATCTTCGGTTCAAAATGGGGGCAACAGTGCGGAGGAACTAAGCTCGGCTTCCTGCAAGAGAAAGGTTGAACCCTCCCAAAGCGGCATACTGGTGTACGAACTCGCCAGAAAAAAAAAAAAAAAAAAAAAAAAAAAAAAAAAAAAACAGACACTCCGGTCACTAAGTATAGGCGTGCAAGATTCGTCACCTTCTACAAAAGCCATCTAAAGACTTGAAGCCTCAAGTGTTTAAGACACTCACTTGCCAGGGCTTGCGTGGACGCTGCAATGTTCCCAACTGGACGGGAAAGCCCAGAACAAATCTCAAATGCTCTATAAAAACCAAGAACTTGGGATGTTACCCCTTATACTAACAGTCCTTAATAGGGATTCCAGTACCCCCTACTATAATCCCGATTAAGGACTGTTATTATAAGGGGGAACATCCCCAAACAAGAACTGAAGTGTCTAAAGCAGGGTCTCCACCACTGTCTGTGTAGCCGCGTCCAGTTGCTCTGGAGCCTGAAACGTGGCGGTTTTTGTTGGTTGAGGGTTTAGGGTTGAGGGTTGAGGGTTTAGGGTTTAGGGTTTAGGGCACCACTCATCTTGAGCTGGGGGCTTTGGGATTCAGGCTGCGAATACTGTACCGCAGTGAAAAAGGACGTGACATCGACACTTCATGAACAGGAGTCCCTAAACCCTAAACCCTAAACCGACTCTCACACACTATGGAGCCGCGCTCGTCCAAGCGAATACTTGACATGTGCAACCTCCAACCTTTTGCCTCCAACTTGCCAAGCTCAAAAACCCTAAACCCTACACCCCCACCAAAAAAGACAAGGGGACCTCTAAACCTTTAATCATGAACCCTAAACCCTAAACCTCCCCCCAAAACACGAGGAAATCTCTGAACCTTATAATTCCTAAACCCAAAGCCCCCACAAAAAAGAGAAAGGGGATCCCTGAACCCTGAACGCCAAAACCCCTCGAAAAGACGAGGGAGAACCCTTGAAAAGGAGCCCAGAAACCTTACATCCTAAATCCTAAACCCTAATTTCGCTTTTAAGAAAAACCAGGGGATCCTTAAACAACATAGAGAAGACAACCCTAGAAAGGCTGAACCCTAAACCCAAAACCCCTTAAACCCTAAACCCTAAACCCCAACAATTTTCCGACCTCCATTCTTTTCGCCAGCAGATCGCCCTGAAGGTTGGCCTTCGCAAAAGCCACTGGGCGATGATAGCCCTCTAGAGGTGTGTTTAGGGTTCTTGTTCGCTTTAGGGTTTAGGGTTTAGGGTTTAGGGTTTAGGGTTTAGGGTTTAGGGTTTAGGGTTTAGGGTTGAACTCATGGGCCCCCTAGAGGCGCCTTTAAAGGTTAGGGTTGGGATGCTCCCTCTTATACTAACAGTCCTCAATAGGGACTATGATAGGGGGGTACTGCAATCCCTCTTAAGGACTGTCAGTATAAGGAGGATCATCCCAAGGCGTAGGGCTTAGGGCATGGTAGGGTTTTGGGTCTAGGGTTCAACTCATGGGGCGCGCGAGAAAAAATGGTTATGTTGACATTTTCCAAGAACCCAAAGAGCAAGTGGGGGTTCTATTTGGGTCGTTCTGTAGAGGGTTGAGGAGTCAAAGATCGCACGACCACCTTTGTAATTCTGATGGGGCACTTTGGGGTTGGGCACCCCAGGGACAATTGTGGAGTTGGGCACTCAAGGGACGTTCTGGTGTTGCGCACTCCAGGACACTCTGGGGTTGGGCACCCTGGGGTTAGGCGAGGAGCAGACCGGGCGAGGAGAAGAGTTGAGTTTAACATCTAACAACCCCACAAAATAGACAAACAGAAACAGCAATGAATTTGCGGGAGTTTAGGTACAAAGCGTTGTTTCAGTCACCGGCATGTGAAGCGACTTTCGTTGCCTTTGCTTTTAACGTCCAAGGCCGTAGCCGTATACGAGTGTCGAACCCAAACCCTAAACCCTAAACCCTAAACCCTAAACCCTAAACCCTAAACCCTAAACCCTAAACCTAACCCTAAACCTTAAACCCAAAACCGCAACCCTTTTCCCACCCAGGCCTCTGTGACTCTGTAGATCGTCGGGCCTAAACCTCAACCCGACGGTTTAGGGTTTAGGGTTTAGGGTTTAGGGTTTAGGGTTTAGGGTTTAGGGTTCAGGGTTTAGGACCCTAGATCCTTCCCTCATGGCCTGCATGGCTTTGGTCTTGAGCTTGTAGAGTAGCTGCTGGTTCTCCTTCGTAAGTCTCTCGAGCTGGACCAGGTGCTGCTCCTGCAAGTTCACAAACCTCTTATTATATATGATATTCCTACTACTAATTACTAATATTGCATATAGTATTCCTACTACTGTAATATTATTATTCTTACTCTTCTTGTTATCAGTATTGTTATTTTCATTTTTGTTTTTTGTTGATGCTATTATTACTATCATTATGAGTATAGTGTACTATGACTTTAATATTATGATATTCAACAACTAAGTAGCCTTACTATGTTGCGGTGTGCTTGCGGCATTTGTCTATTTTATTGCGTTCTTCCCAGCGGACTTCGCTGCCGCTGCCGCAGAAAGCTAAGCTCTGGATGCCATTGGCGTGTTGACGACAACACGAAAGATGCACAATGCTATCTTAAAGGCATTACTGCTCGACTACCCCTAAATGTCCATGTACCTAATTAGGGTACACTTGGGCCTTAAAGTACCTTGTGTATAAGGACTTTCTGGCCCACGTATATAATAACAAGGTACATGGACCCTTAGGGTACTAAGTCTACTGCGGAAAGAAGGCTTAAGCAGACTCCTCCAATCGCTTCTTCTGCTCCTCAAGCAGCTCATCCACCTCTGCCTTACGGGCTGCGGGTGCTTGGTGATGAAGCCGACAAACAACGACAGACACATAGATTCGGTAAATGCGCATTGACTGCGCAGAAGCAGATCGACAGGATGGAAACACACGTGCGCTTATGCGCATAAACGCCCGCGCCCACGCCCGCGCCCGCGCCCGCACACACACGCGCGCCCGCGACGGCGCCCAGGCCCAGACCCATGGGCACATACACATACACATGCACATACTCATACACATACACACACGTTACGAACCAACTTGCGGACCAACTGCATGCCGACATTGGTTCCCAGTATGGAAACAGACCAGGAGACGTGCCCCGGAGTCCACATCAGCTCTAGATTCTACATCCCGCCTCGCTCGGACGCTCGCTGACGGAGAAGTGTGAAATAATGTCGGGGACGAACTCATCTCCTCTCTCCTGTGCCGGGCACCAACCAACAAAACGGATCACCTGCAAAAGATGGCGAACAAGTACAAGCTAATATGTTTATATATATATATATATATGAAAGCCCTACTGTAAACTATATCTCCATGCCTGGACCTGTCTTCTGTTATATGACGTACAAGTTCACAGTTTGAGCCTGGAATACGGGCTTGTAGGTACCCGAAGATTCAGATCCTTCGAGCAGGGGCCTTCGTTGTCGCCTGCGTCGCTGTCAACAAGAAGCACGATCAGCGACCAAGGAAACCCTAAACCAGCAAAGGTCAAAACGGGGCTGCGCAGGTCGGCGCCTGGGTGCTTGTAGCACTAGTGCGTCCCCGCAATGTGGATTAGGGTTTAGGGTTTAGGGTTTAGGGTTTAGGAGTTTAGGAGTTTAGGAGTTTAAAAAGGTTCTGGGTTTACGATTTGGTGGAAACACCCTGAACCCTAACCCCCAAGCCCCAACCCCCTTTTCGTCCTCGGCCTGCTGCTTACGGACCAGCTGCTGGCGCAGGCCAGCTACCTCCATTTTTTGGGGTCTGTGTAGGGTTTATGGGGCTTTTGCAACCATGTCTCTGCAGGGGTTATGGGGCTACTAGGGACTACCTGCGACTCTCTTTACCTACAGTGTTATGGGTTGTACCTACGAATTAAGGGGGTAGCTACTTCTAAACTGTAGGCAAATAGGGTGTCCCGGGTAGGTCTAATGCAGGATTTAGGGTGTTTAGGGCTTTTCAGAGGCTTGGTGGGGTTCAATCATTCATCCTTTTGGGTTTGCTATGCTTTGTAGGCTAGACCACAGACCGGGTCATGCGGCTGCTACTTGCGAGTTCCATTCGGTTAGTGATTGCGCGTCGAGGGCGTAGGGTGGACTGGGCCTGTCTGTGTTCAAACCCAACAAATTAGCGGGGTTATAACCACCCTAACCCTAAACCCTAAACCCTAAACCCTAAACCCTAAACCCTACACCCTTTTTTACAGCAGGCCTGGGTTCACAGCAGCCCGGTTCCAGCATCACGCTCACTACTGCAGAGCGAGCATTGACGCTGAGATCTCTCTGGATACTAGTTGAAAGGTGAAAATCTTACTGTATTCTCTGAAGACTAAGTGATGAAGCTGCATAAGCTCAGAAGTGAAAGCCTCGAATGAACCCTAAACCCTAAACCCTAAACCCTAAACCCTAAACCCTAAACCCTAAACCCTAAACCCTAAACCCCTAAACCCCTAAACCCTGAACCCATACGCAGGGCCCCAAAAGAGTAGGTAAATGCAGCCGCGGGGTTGGAGTGGGACTCACAGCTGCAGACCTGGCCTCTCGATAGTAAGCCTCCCTCATCCTCGCCAGCTCACTCCTGGCGCTCTAGTCTTGGGGTTTAGGGTTTAGGGTTTAGGGTTTAGGGTTTAGGGTTTGGGGTTTGGGGTTTGGGGTTTAGGGTTTAGGGTTTCCGGTTTAGGGATTAGGGTTCGGGCATTCTGGCTGCAGGTTTGGGGCCGTGGAGAGTTCGAGGTCACGCAGCCAGAGGTGATCCCAATGGCAAACTGCCCTATACATTCTCTATACTGAACTTGGAACCCTAGCAAAAACTTTAATTTTAGCTGTTTCTTAGGAAATTCCAGTACCCAAAAACTAATAACATTTTTCCAAATATCCCCTAAGTTCTGGGTTTGTCAGGATTTGGGGGTGGCAACTATAGAACGAACTAGGGGAAACACACCCCAGCAGTAGTTTTAGCCAGAATAAGTAGTCAATTTGGGCGGTTTACGAAAGTAAGGGACTCCCAATATTAACCCCAAAAATAGTAGGATTTCCTAATCATGAGGGTACCCCTAATTTCGGAAATCCCCATTTGCTTCCCTAAACCCCCCTCAACCCCCCTAAACCCTAAACCCTAAACCCTAAACCCCAAACCCTAAACCCTAAACCCTAAATCCCCCAGATCCTCGCCCGTTGGGCGCGCAGGTTTGCTGTGGTGGCCTGTGAGAGCTTCGCCTGCCAGTCCTCCCCAAGGTTACGGCATTTAGAGGGTTTCGGGTTTCGGGTTTAAGGCTTAGAGTTGGGGTCTTAGGGTTTAGGGTTTAGGGTCTAGGGTCTTAGGGTCTTAGGGTCTTAGGGTCTTAGGGTCTTAGGGTCTAGGGTCTAGGGTCTAGGGTCTAGGGTCTAGGGTCTAGGGTCTAGGGTCTAGGGTTTAGGGTTTAGGGTTTAGGGTTTAGGGTTTAGGGTTTAGGGTTTAGGGTTTAGGGTTTAGGGCCCCTTATACTAGCAGTCCTTAGTAGGGATTATCGTTCCCCCTATATGATCATCCCTCTTAAGGACTGTTGTTATAAGGGGGGGACAAGCCAAGTTTCGGGCTTCATGCTGTTCTGGGGGCAAGGATGGGCAAGGCTTGCAGCCGGAGGCTTCGGGGGCAAGCAAACGACGCTTGCTGACGGCGTATGCTCGGGCGCACGAGTTCGCGCCCTCTTCTCAGATGACTTGTCTCTTCCGGGCTCTGGTACGAGTCCCAACATCCACTCCTCGCGATGACCTTAAGAAACCCTACTTGTTTTGTAGGTTCTTAGTATAAATCCCGTTGTGGGATTCTTGGGAAGCCTACCAAAAAAAGGTAGGTTTCGGGTTCTTAAGGGAGGGCTTAGGGCGGTGATTCGACACCATGAGATCTCACACTGCAAACGGTTCCATGCCTGAAGGTGCTGCTCGCAACGTAGCTTCGCCACCTGCGCGGGGTTTAGGGTTTAGGGTTTAGGGTTTAGGGTTTAGGGTTTAGGGTTTAGGGTTTAGTAGGGCAATTTTAGGGTTAAGGGGTTAGGGCTTACTAGTTCATGGTGGGGATAGAATAAAAAAATCTAAGTTCCTCTTCCTGATTACCCTTAAACATTTAAAATGTTACCCCGCTATGACACAGCCTACATGAAGCGTCGGGCGCCAACCCTAAACCCTAAACCCTAAACCCTAAACCCGGCCTGGTACAGGTCGTTGTTGCAAGGGCCAGCATCGAGCAGGTCGCCCTCCAGTCTGACGGCAAGCTCGTCGAAAGTGTCCACCTGAGTAGCCGCCCCTCGACATCCGGTTTAGGGTTTAGGGTTTAGGGTTTAGGGTTTAGGGTTTAGGGTTTAGCCAGATGCCCAGAGAGCCCTTGAAAAAAACACTGAATTAAGGAAGATAGCTTGAATTTCATACTAGGGATCCCTATACAACTTAAGATATTTACCATAATACCTGCGCTAAGGGGTAGAAGGGGCTGTCTGGATGAGAAGTTTTCAGTCTGCTCTCCTGGTGCACAGCGACCGCGTACCTGAGTCAGACCTCCCAATCTGGGTTTAGGGTTTAGGGTTTAGGGTCCTGGGCCCGTGGCGATGGCCGTCTGCACCCGCGAAAAGACAGCTCCGGGCTTCACCGAAAACTTCTGCAGAAAGTCGAAGCCTCCGATGTTCATGTGGTCAGGCGTGTCAGGTTTAGGGTTTAGTGTTTAGGGGCTTGAAGTTCTCTAAATTCTGTTCGTTTTTGGGGGGTCTTCTTATAAGGCGGCCCTGTTTAGGGCACCCAAAAAGGTGCCATAATTGAGAGAACTCTCCATGTGAGGGGGGGAGCTGTTTCGAGGTTCTAAGAGCCCAATATTGCTTAATTAAGGAATATTCCTTAAATCATATAGGGATCCTTAATATGATTTAAGCTATATTGCTTAATTAAGCTATGTTGGGCTCTTTGGGTTCTTGAAGGTCCACATGAAAGAAGGGGCGAGTTCATCTTGCGAGTCTTATCTTCTGTGGGGATGCCGCATAAGGCTCTATCTAAGGGTCGCTACGAGGGATATAAGGGGTTCCCCTTTCTTAAAGGCCCATGCTAAGGGACCATATGACTACCCTCAGGCTTTACAAGGCTCTGCACACGTGGCGTTTCAGTATGCCACCGACTGCCGACCTCAGAAGCCATCGGCGAAACCCTAGACCCCCCTGGTCACCCTCGGACCACTGTGGTTCAGACTCCAGGCTTGGGGCAAGCGCTCAGGGCAGTTTAGGGTTTCGGGCTTCCATGGGTTTAGGGTTGGAAGAGTTTAGGGTTTAGGGTGTGGGCTTCAGGGGCTGTTCAGGGTTTCGGGCTCATTTGGGACGAGAGCTTCTCTGTGTCGCCATTTTTTTTTTTTTTTTTTTTTTTTTGGGGGGGGGGGGGGGGGGGTTGGGGGTCCAATCAGTCTGAAGGACCTGCCTTAGATAGCGGTATCGAAAGCACACCTATAAGGCCACTGTTGTTTTTGCTTGATCTTCTCGAGTCCGGACCCAGATTCCAAAATCCCACACACCCCTGAAACCCAAAAACCCTTTCTTGAGCAACGGACTCTGAGGCTACCGGCACACATGCAACTGCTCCCTAAGCCCTAAACTCTGGTCCTTTTTCACTTCAATTTTTCAGTAGCCCAGTAGCCATATTATGAGAAGGGTACCCTTTTTTTCGGGTTGGTTACTCTGCAAGGGAACCTTGAACCCACCAAAAAAGGGGGCAAAAGAGCACCACTGGGCTACCAAGATTTAGCTGATACTTGGGACTCGCCCTAAACCCTAAACCCTAAACCCTAAACCCTAAACCCTAAACCCTAAACCGTCATGGGGCCAACTGCAGGAAGCTCCACCCTCAGCAGCAGGGAGGTCTCCACCGGGGCTTTTTCGGAGTGGGCTCGGACCATGGCTCAAACGCTCGCTGGCCCAAGAACCCAAAGACTCCAATATCACTGATAATTGAGGAACAGACCTTAAATCATATTTGGGGTCCTACTATAGTTTAAGGTATATTCCTTACTTAAGGGATTTTGGAGTCTCTGGGAAGCCCTCCGAATCTCGACGCCCTATTAACCCTAAGGATGATACAGGCCGGCAGGCGCTATATCTGCTACCCTTATACCTAGATAGAGCCCCCAGATTCCTAGATACCCTGATAAGAACCCCGGTATATGGCCCTATGAAGCAGAAACCCCTTCTTAAGGAGACCACCAACTCATCAAACCGAGGTCCATGGTTCGGGGGGGGGGTCAGGGTTCGGACTGCGCAGCTTCTTCTTCATGGCGGCAAAGGGTGATCGACTCGGGGCTTAAACAAAAACCACCCACAAAGATCGAGATCGTTGATCTCGCGCAGTGGAGCCACCTCAAAAGCGGCCGGGCGCCGTCGCAACTTACAATCTCGAAGGGCCATACCTGGGTTAACCCTAAACAGAGTAAGTAACCTAAGAATAAGCAGGATGGGTGATGATACCCTATATCCCCTGAAACAGGCCCTTTTTAGGGTTGACTATGAACATGTTACGGCCTTAGTTACACCCTATCACGTTGATTATGGGGATTAGAAGGCATAATAGCAACTCCGGGTCAGAAGGAAAACCTCTTCAACCCTGCGTGAAAGGTGTAGGGTTTAGGGTTTAGGGCGTGGGGTTCAGAAAACCTCTTGAAAGGAGATCCATGTGTCAAGGTGCAGGATATGGGGCTACCCCCACACCCCCCCCCCCTCCCAAAGAGCCTCTAACGACGCAACATCCGTTGACGGGTTCAACCCTTCACTGCGATTTTCCCCTAAAGGGGCCATGTACCTAAATAGGGAATACTCGGGCCTTAAAGTGCTTGCTATATATAGGGACCAAGTATACAATAACTAGGTACTTGGGACCCTTAGCCTTAGGGTTCAAAAGTGGCAGCTGCACCTGGCACCTTCGCCCCGGCAACCGTGCCGACTGCATGGCGAGGCGCCCTACCGCGGCCAAAGAGCCGCTTAGGTATCCCTTAACCTAAAATCATACCAAGGGTCCCTATATACAATTTAACGTATATATAACCACCCTTAAGAAGGGGGTATTAGGCTGTCTGATGAGAAGATGGCAGGGCATGCTCGTATACGTTGCCGATGTGTACCGAGCCATTTGTCAACGGCATATCTGGTGCGAACACCGCTTCAGGCGGTTTTCGGCAAACCTGGATAGGCCTGGTGCCTTTCCACATTCTGACACCGGCCCAGAAGAGTGGCTTCCTACAACAGAATCGAATTTTTCAACTTAGTACCACTAACTCGAGGGCCCTTGAGATACCCCTTAATTAAGGAATATACCTGAAGTCATATAATGATCCGTTATGTGCTTTCAGGTATATAGGGGTATTGGGCTCTTTGGGAAAATGACATAGACCGAATCAGAATATGATTGCGCCAGCCACTGGAGGCATTCGTAAGCATGCGGGCCTTTTCCAAAAGTCGTGGTCCCCATGTAGAATTCAAAGATGCAGCCAGTCCTTTGTTCTGAAACGCTCCAAGAAGGGTATCCCCCTATTTCCTGTTCCCCCATTTAACACGCCGTTCCGAAGCTCATCTTCGACCATCTACCACAGCGCCGTAAACCCTAAACCCTAAACCCTAAACCCTAAACCCTAAACCCTAAACCCTAAACCCGAAACCTCACCCCCCCCCCCCCCCCCCCCCCCAGGAGGCTGCTTTTTTCCAGTCCGTCGTCGCTGTTGCGAGTCTCTGGATCTGGGCTGTCCTTGGCCGATTTCGAGGGTGGTGTTCAGAGACCCCAGCCTCCCAGCGATTCGGGTTTAGGGTTTAGGGTTTAGGGTTTAGGGTTTAGGGTTTAGGGTTTAGGGTTTAGGGTTTAGGGTTTAGGGTTTAGGGTTCAGGGTTTAGGGTGCGAAGACTATGCGATAGTAGCTACAGCAGGCCTCGAGGCTGGAATTGAATTTCTCGACATCTTCCCAACCCATAAATCCTGAAGCCAGTTTTGCAAGGGAGTCATACTCGGACCGCCCTCCAAGGGGTTCACCTTAATGCACTCCGAATGTGGCCCTGATACTCCCTTAGAGGATCTGTGAAAAAGGGTCCCCAAACCCAAGGGTACAACCTCAAGGGGGCCAAGGTGGAGTACCATAATTCTTACCCTTTTTGCAACTGGACTGCGGACAACTGCCAGGAAAGGATACCAAGCTCGGCTAAAACCCTGTACGTTAGGGATGATTCTTACCCTAAACCCTAAACCCTTTTTCTACTTGAGCCCTAAATCCTAAATTCTAAACCCTAAACCCACAACGTGGGAAGGACTGAGCCAGACGCTGAGCCAGGGCCACGAGCACAGGAGGAGCCAATTGCGTCCTCATCAACACATGGGGGGGGGGGGTGGTGGCTATGACTAGTGTTTAGGGTTTTTAGGGTCTCGGGTTTAGGGGGGCCCCTTTCTGAAACCCCGGTAGTTTCGAAAGCGACAGCAACTGGAAAGATAGAGCCAGGGGGTCAACTTGATTCTTGAAATTCTTGCCCTGAGTGGGGGTTCACCCAGAATGAATGATCCATTGGCCCAACACCTTGGGATTTTCCTAGGGTTTTCCGAGTCTCCATGGTCCCATCTGTTTCTGTAAGCAGATGTATGTGTGTGTGTATGTAGGTGTCTGTATATTGTATTCATATTTATATTTGTATATATATATATATATATATACAGTACAGTAGAGACATCAACCGAACTGGTTTTCAAGTCCTCGCTAGGCTTCCGAAATTAGGGGTCCTTATTGGGGTTCCTATTATAAGGGAATGCTACTATTTGGGGGACGATTTTCAGGGGCCCCGTATTTTGTAAACCTCCCGATTGTGCCAGAGCTGCTATGTTTTCTACCAGAGCACAGTAGTGCCTGCCGCCATTCACCCTGCTAGAAACTTAGCCCCAGCAAAAGCCCACGGTCGTCTTTTGAACCCTCAACCATAGAGCCCTACACCCGATAGCCCTAAGCCCTGTAAAGCCCTATAAAGCCCCATAACACCCCTTAGCCCTATAAAGCACTAGAAAACCCTAAGCCCTCAGCCTTACAAAGCCCTATAGTACCCTGAACCCTAAGCCCTAAGCCCTAAACCCCTAGCCCTAAGCCCTAAACTGTTAATACCCTGAACCCTACACCCTTAACCCTAAACCCGAAACCCCAAACCCTAAACCCTTAACCTACAAGGCGGCGGGGCGCCTCTTGTGACATTGCGTGGGGAAAAGTCAGGTCCTGGGAGCCGCGGCGACGGGCGCGCACGGGTTTTGGGGTTTGTTTTTTTTGGATTTGGGGTTTAGGGTTTGGGGTTTAGGGTTTGGGGTTTTGGGTTTGGGGTTTGGGGTTTGGGGTTTGGGGTTTAGGGTTTGGGGTTTAGGGTTTGGGGTTTAGGGTTTGGAGTTTGGGATTTAGGGTGTGGGGTTAGGGGTTTAGGGTTTGGGGGTTAGCGGCTTGTTCCCGGATCTTCCAGAGACCCCTTAATTAAGGAATATGCCCTACTTTTATACTATAAGGATCATGATTCTGAATTCGGGCATGGTCCTTAGTTGAGGGTTTTGGAAGAGCAGGGTTCGCTTCACGGCGACCAGAACAAGTAGAAGGTTCTTGGGGCTCTCCCCTAGTTGGCAAGACTATACTTCGGGCTTCCTTCTGGGGGCCTCCAGCCGACATGATTCGCAACATAGCAGGGGCCATCAGGAGGAAACATATTCTTGTTTAGGGTTTAGGGTTTAGGGGTTTAGGGTTTAGGGGTTTAGGCTTCTTCAGATCCTGTGGCGGCGGAATGCACCAAGGCTCGCACAGCTTCCCTTTGATGCGCTCGTACGCAAAGACACAGATCGTAAGCCTCCGCACTCAGGCCCTACACCCCACGCACATCTGCGAAGCCTCCGGTGTGGCAGCTTATGCAGATCCTTTAGAGCTGTTGCAAGAGCATGAGCTAGAGCACATTCTTAGTACCAAAACCCAAAACCCGTAAACCCAGAAAACCAAACCCGTCCTGAGGCCGAGGCATGTGACGCGAAAGTGTTTGCACTGTGCAAGCCACAAGAGCAAGAACTTGCTAATAATAGCTCATCCGCAGTCAATCAAGAGTGCGATTCTGTACTGTCATCATCCAACTATCGGGGACTACAGAAAAAGAGACCAGGACTAAACCCTAAACCCTAAACCCTAAACCCTAAACCCTAAACCCTAAACCCTAAACCCTAAACCCTAAACCCTAAACCCTAAACCCTAAACCCTAAACCCTAAACCCTAAACCCTGCACCGCTCTCACTGCCGCAACATCACGCAAGATGACATCCATGAGTTCGCCGTCACACATGACCTAATATTTGCTTAAGAACCCACAAAAGAGTAAACAAGTAATGATCCCTATACTACCCTTCATAAGGAAGAATATTATTAGTTTTCCGGGGGTTCTTAAGCCACTAGAAGCGACATGAAGAATGTGCATGCCGCCCAGCATGTGCAGGTATCGCAAGCGGTGAGGACATCCCCCAATCAAGTACTGCCACCCGAAGTCGGAATCAAGCGAAATACAGTAGCACGACTCGCTACCATTGCCAGCATCGCCGGGACATCACGCAGCAAGGAAACCCGTGCGAAACCACGCCATTGTGGCTCTTGCTGCATCTCGCCAGCTAGCCCACGGGTGAGCATGCCCCAAAGGCGCAGTCATGGCATGGTTTAGGGTTTAGGGTTTAGGGTTTGGGGTTTAGGGTTTAGGGTTTAGGGTTTGGGGTTTGGGTTTAGGGTTTTAGTATCCGCAGACGGATGCCCTTCCCTCAGTTCCTCTATGTCGCACCTCCGAGGCATCCGTGGACCACCCAAGCATCCCGAAACTTTCCCAAAGGGTCCCAAGTACCCATATGGGGGGACACTTACCCAAACCCTAAGCCCTA